GGGGGTGTTGTCATATTACGCGATGCGGGTACTGAACGGTTTGTACTTTATACCATGACATATTTGCACTTTGGGCAGTCCAAACTGATAGTTTTTCTGTGCATTCATCAAGCTGGTATCCTGCTATGTCTCAGCGACAAACCCTCTTCGACAGTACTACCCGGAAAAGTCCAGGCGCTGCAACTTAATCTCGCGCTTATCGCAACCTTTTCCCCCCGCTGAGCTGAGTAGTGCTAGATAACATTTATGAGGGTAACACGTATGATTTGCTTTGTCTAGAATTACCTTCTTATACGACTGATTATTATGCATATAGATTGCTGATCACTGGGTCGTGTCCTTGATCCAAACACATTGATATAGGACAGTGTCTTCGTTTCAGTCTGTTGGGAGAGTACACAATGGACCTGTACTCTGTAAAACTGGAACAAAATAAAGCCAATTCAGTGTTCACTAACATTTCTTTACCATGAAATTTAGAACAAAAGTGTTTTTTGCATTCTATTTCTTTCCCAGGATATGTTTAACAAAGTGTTTGTTTGCAGTCTATCCCATTCCAGGATGATTGTAACTGAAGTGTTTGCAATCTATTGCTTTACCAGGATATTTTTCATGATAGCATTTGCTTACACTCTTTTGAAAGGAGTAGTGAAATATAGTTCTCTATCCAAGTACATTCCAGTGAAAATATCATCTATTATCTTTCAGATCTGGCAAAACGCAGAGAATAAGTGCTAAAACCCCAGGAACAACCACCTTTAGAGCATCACGACGGGTTCAAGGACCGCAAGACATGGGTCCGGAATTCCTGGAAAGTCGAAGGGAGACTGAGAGTACCCCTGGAAAGGCCTGTTGAGCTAACAAAGAGATCGCAAAGGACTTTTGGGTACCGATGAAGGAACTTCATGCAAACCATGAACCACACATTCTTTTAGGAAGCAAGGCAGAACAAAGACAAAAACAAGAAAGAAAATTAGATATGATTGTTTATTAATTAATAAGTCAGCGTACTGTCCCCTAAATAGATGAAACATTAACGTTAGCAGGACCAAAAGCATCGAGAGCTCGAGTCGTTCTACCCTTTGAGGGCACGCATTCTGACACTTTGACAACGCTTGAAGACGTTCTGTTTTGGGGGCACTTTGAAAAAGAAGTGTAATTTAATTATTCACGAGCATAGTTTATTTCTATTTTCTTCATCCGAAGCTTTAAAACGCAGGCAATAGCATGCATACTGTGGAATACGAAAATTTGTGTTTTTGATTTGTATACGATGGTTTGAAAGGTGCAGCAACATTGCTTCTGGTCTGCTGCAGATCGGGAATATATTATGTGTTTGCTACGTCCTTAAAGCGATAAAGGACAATAAACTGAAGGGATTGCTGTGACAATGACATTGAAGATAATCCAAAGAATAAATCTCCAACAGATTCATCTGAACTTCGAAACAAATAAAACAAAAAAAGCGAAAAAGTTACAACAGCGTTAAAGCGATATTAATGTACAGAAGACGTTTTTAAGCAATTTAGACAAATATATACAACACTGCAGAAATTATTGAGCATGAAATCAGCCTCGGTGTTTTTCCAAAGCACGTGTGTAGTGTGTTGTGCTCTGTGGGCGTGTTGTGACACACAGAGCTACTCAGACGTACACAGTGTGTTCACGGACAGACTGGGCACCAACAGCTCCTACAACACGGACGTACGGCCTGTGCTTGACCAGACACAGGTGGGCCGCTCTATCTGTCTGTCTGTCTGTCTGTCTGTGTCTGTCTGTCTGTCTGTCTGTCTGTCTGTC